GAGCAATTTGATATAGGTGATACATGTGCAATCATGCAAAACATATTTTCGCGTTAGTTATGTTGTGAAAGAAGAAGCATACCCTCCTGCCAAAAAAAAAATTTTTTTTTAAAAAGTAGAAAGTAGTGTTTCGATGTTCATTCATACTCCATTCTGGAGGTGGATAGCATTTTTCATCACAAATCTTTTTGAATTGTCTTAAATCAGGGGCAGATAGGTGGTGCGGTGGATAGAACGCTGGCCCTGAAGTCAGAAGGACCTGAGTTCAAATCCAGCCTCAGACCAAACACTTGACACGTACTAGCTGTGTGACCTTGGGCAAGTCACTTAACCCCAATTGCCTCACCCCCCAAAAAAAGAAAGAATTATCTTAGATCATTGTATTGCTGAGACAGCCAAGTCATTTCACAGTTGATCATCATACAGTATTGCTGTTACTATGTACAAAGGTCTTCTAATTCTTTTCACTTCACTTTTCATCAGTTTGTGTAAGTCTTCCCGGGTTTATCTGAAATCATCCTACTCATCATTTCTTATAGCACAGTACTACTCCATTACAATCAAATACCATAGCTTGTTCAGTCATTCCCCAGTTGATAGACATCTCCTCAATTTCCAATTCTTTGCCACCACAAAAAGAGCTGCTATAAATATTTTTGTACTAATAGGTCCTTTCCTTTTTTTTTTTCCCCTATAATCTCTTTGGGATACAGACCTAGTAGTGGTATTACTAGATCAAAGGGTATGCACAATTTTATAGCCCTTTGGACATAGTTTTAAATTGCTCTCCAGATGGTTAGAACAGTTCACAACTCCACCAACAGTGCCTGTGTCCTCATTTTTCCACATCCCCTCCAACTTTTATCATTTTCCTTTTCTGTCATATCAACCAATCTGATAGGTCTAAAGTAGTATCTTGGAATTGTTGCTAGGTATTTTGCAAAGATTGTTGAATTTGATCTTTATAGCAACCCTGGGATAGATGCAGTTATTATCCCCATTTTACAGCTGAGGGAACTGAGGCAGACATAAGTTAAGTGACTTGCCCAAGATCACAAAGTAAGTGTCTGAGGTTGTATTGGCTTTCTGGCTCCTTGCACATCAATCATATTTAGTGCACCACTTAGCTATTTCTAAATATTCTCAGTTTCTTCTGAAACTGTTTGTTTCATAATTTTTTTTTTTAGGCAATTGGGGTTAAGTGACTTGCCCAGGGTCACACAGCTAGTTAAGTGTCAAGTGTTTGGTCTGAGGCCAGATTTGAACTCAGGTCCTCCTGACTTCAGGGCCAGTGCTGTATCCACTGTGCCACCTAGCTTCCCCTGTTTCATAATTTCTTATGATAGGTAGTATTCTATTACATTCATATATGAATGTAATAGATATATCATAATTTGTTTCACCATTCCCTAGTAGGTGGATATCCCCTTAGTTTCCAATTTTTGGCTACCACAAAAAGAGCAGCTATAAATATTTTTCTACATAGATATACTTTTCCTCTTTCTTTGAGTTTTCGGAGATGTAGGCCTCATAGAGGTATAGTGGGTCACATTGTATGACAGTTTAGTAACTTACTGAATATAATTCCAAATTGCTTTCCAGAATGGCTAGATCAATTCATAGCTCTACCAACAGAGCATTGACATACTTATTTTCCAATGGCCCCTGCAACATTTGTCATTTTCCTCTTTTGTCATCTTTGTCGGTCTGAGAAGTGTAAGGTAGAACCTCAGAGTTCCTTTAATTTCCATTTTCCTAATTATTAGCAATTGAGAGAATTTTTTCATAGAATTGTTGATAGTTTGGATTTCATCCTTTGAAATCTGCTTGTTCATATCCTTCCCTTCATTCCCACTTTTTTTCATTCTCACCTTGAGATTCTTGACCTTTTGTTACTCCATATGAATTTTGTTGTTATCTTTTCTAGTTCCGTTAGAATATTTTTTAGAGTGTTTAAATTGGCACAGCTTTAAATAAATTAAGAAGTATTGCCTTTTTTGTAATTTATTTAGTAGCGTTGTCATTTGTATTGAGTCACCCTACCCATGAGCAATTCCTGTTTCTACAGTTATTTAGGTTTATTTTATTTCTGAAAAGAATCTTTTATAGTTAGCTTAATTTAGTTCCTGGGTGAATCTTGTTTGATACACTGTCAAGTATTCTAAAAAGATTCTGCAGTTATTTTGAATGGAATTTCTCTTTCTAGCTCTTCTTACTGTGTTTTTGTTGATTACATATAGGAATACTGATGACGTATGTAGATTTATCTTATATCTTCAACTTTGCTAAAGTTTTTAATTATTTAATCAATTTTTGGGTGAGTCTGGGCTGCTCTACGTACACCCTTGTATCATCTTTAAAAAAGGGATAATTTTGTTTCCCCCTTGCAGAGGCTTATTGTTTTTGATAATGGCTTTCAAAAATGTGCTTCAATAATGGGCCTGGCAATAGATTTTCTGCTTTCCAAAAACCAGTCTAGCTAAGGATGGCACAAGTAAGTTGGCCACTGAGTGGTTACTTCTCAGGATGTAGTAACTCATGAAACAGTTCATGAAATCATCTTCAAAATGTGGTGGAGGAAAGTACATAAGAGATAATGAAATTCAGACATAACAATTTATTTGTAGAGGATCTTCTCTATAACAGTATGACCTGACAAGGCATAGTGCCTCTTCTTGAGTACTGTGAGTGGACACTTCCAACTTCCAGAGAGCTAATATGGTGGCTGACATTTCAATAATGTTTTACATCCTACAAAGTACATCTCATTTTTAGATTTCTTATTGATTATCTACCAGTCTTCTACCCATTGGCCTTAGATCTGCCCTCTGGAGTCATCAGAGTTAGTCTAATCTTCTACCTGGTAGTCCTTTAAGCATTTTATTCTCCAGGCAGGGACCCTAAGGTTATAAATATGGAAATGGAAACATCCCCAGTTCTTTCAGTGTTTCCCATGTACCTTTTAAATACTCACCATCCTGGTTTCCCTCCCTCTTTAGACACAGTACTTGAATTAAACTGTTTCTTCCTTTGAATTGTACCTTCTGCTTCTATTAATATGGCCTAAGATTACATTAGCTTTTATAAAAAAAAATCGGTATCACATTATTGCCATGATATTACAATCAAAATTTTCCCTTGGTTTGTCCTTTAACAAAGAATTTTTAACAAACAACCAAATCACAGACCACTGTATTTTCTAAATCTGACTTTAAAATCTTCTTAGATTTCATTGGATAATCATTTCCTATACATGATTTGACACTAGTAAGGAAAGAAAGAAAGCACAGTAATTTCCCCTGCAACAGTTTTAGATAATTAGTATTTTTTTGAAGACAGGTAGTCTTAAGCTGTTTTCTTTTTTCACTATATACAAGAGGCAGCTAGATGGCTCAGTAAATAGAACACTGAAGTACAGTATTATATACCACAATTTGTTCAGCCATTTCCCAGTTGGCTAAGAGGCAATATTCCACAATCATAGTCCCATACTCTTGCAGTGGAAGAAGGGAAATAAAAAATAACATTTTTTGAAAAAAGAAGGAAGATGCATTTTCTCAACTCTTATCTAGGGCCAAGCTTGATCATCCAGTGTTAGGCTTCCAGTTTTTGTGTTGATGTTATTGTTTCCATTTATATTACTATAGTTGCTGTGTATCATTTTCTTCATGGTTTCTTCATCACGTATCAGTTCATACATAGACCTGCTCTTCCTATGTTTCTGAATTTATTGTATGTCATTTTCTACAGTGCCATAATTAATATTCTATTACGTTCTTGTACCAATTTGCTTAGCTGTTACCCAGTTGATGGATGTGCAGTTTGTTTTCAGACCTTTTCTAACACACAGAATTCCAGCCTGTCTTTCAAAATTTACTTCACATTATACCACTTAACATGCTCTGCATTCCTGCCAAACTGGTCTACTCGCTGTTTTCTGACCTTAAGAGTTCCATCTGCTACTCCTGTGCCTTTTCACAAGCAGTCTCACACCTCAGAGTCCTTAGTTTACTTTAAGCTCAGCTGCTCCCCTCCACGAAAAGCCTTTTCTGAGCCCCCCTAGTTGTTAGTGCTCTCCTTCTTCAGATTACCTTGTATTTAACACCTCTTTTTACTAATTATATCCTCCTGGTAGAATGTAAACTCCTTGAGGGCAGGGACTGAAGTGTCTCCAGCATCAACAGTTAAGTGCCTTGCACATAGTGCTGTAGGCGCTTAATAAATGCTTATTAAATTAAATTTGTAGAATGCAATTGTTCTATGCTAATTTCCATTTACGTAGTCACTTCTGTGTGGTGCCCAGGTCTTCATCACCTCTTGCCTGCTCTTTCTGCATCCAGTCCATCCTCCCCTCTCCATGTAGTTGCCAAATTGATACTCCTCAAGTACGGTGCCCAGGTCTTCATCACCTCTTGCCTGCTCTTTCTGCATCCAGTCCATCCTCCCCTCTCCATGTAGTTGCCAAATTGATACTCCTCAAGTGCAGGGCTGATAGTGTTATCTTGTCGTTGCGCATTCATTTCAGTTGTGTCTAACTCTTTTATGACCCCATTTGAGGTTCTTGGCAGAGATACGGAGTGGTTTGCCATTTTCTTCTCCAGCTCTTTTTACAGATGAGGTAACTGAGGCAAACAGGTTTCAGTGACTTGTGTAGGATCACACAGCTAGTAAGTGTCTAAGGCCAGTTTTGAACTCAGGAAAATGAATCTTCCTGACTCTAGGCCCAGCACTCTATCCACCTCGCCACTTAACTGTCCCCTCATGGTGTCATAGACCTGATCTAAAGCTTTTCTGGATCCCCTTTGCCTTTAGGGTAAAATGTAAGCTCTTGTACTTTTTTTTTTTTTTGGCTAGGCAGTGGGGTTAAATGACTTGCCCAGGGTCATACAGCTAGTAAGTGTTATATGTCTGAGGCTGGATTTGAACTCAGGTCCTCCTGAGTCGCGGGCCGGTGCTCTATCCACTGTGCCACCTAGCTGCCGCAATAAGGAGCAGTGGTTCCCCCGAACAGGGACTTGGACCCTGGACCCTCAGATTAAAAGTCTGATGCTCTAACCAACTGAGCTATCCGGGCCCACTTCCTCCACTTTTTAAATCCCTTCACAATCTGACTATCGCTGATCTTTCCAGGACAATCACATATTATTCCCATACTATAAACTCTTACCAAGTTATCTAATTTGATATGCCCTGTACATGACATTCTATGAACTTTTTGCCAAGAGAGACCTGGCTGTCTTCACTATTAGAAGTGCCTGAAATACTCTCACTCCTCACCTCCTTTTATTTTTAAATAGATTTTTATTGATATCTTTTGTTTTTACATCTCCTAGATTTCCTTCTGTATCTCTCCCCTTCCAGAGAGCCATCTCTTATAACAAAAAAAAATTATTAAAAAGAAAAAAGAGGAAGAAAAAAATCAGCAAAACTGAACATGTATCAGAAAAAAGCTGATGTTACATGCAATATTTCACACCCATGAGCTCCTCTCCCCCCCACTTCTGCAAAGGAGCAAGGGAAGATGTTCTCTCATCTCTTTCAAGATCAAGTTTGCTCTTTATAATTTCACAACATTCATTTTTATGTGTTTTGTGATGGTTTTTTATATTTACATTGTTGTAATAGTTGTGTATATTGTTATTCTGGCTCTGCTTACTTCACTTTACATCAGTTTGTGCAAGTCTTTGCATGCATTCTGTATTCATCATATTCATAGTTTCTTATGGCATGGTAAATAATCCCTGATTTCTTTGAGGCCTAGCTCTACTGCCACCTCCTTCAATAGCTCTCTTCTGATTCCCCCAATTAGGGGAAATTCCCCCAGTTGTTAGTCACCTTCCTCCCAAATACAGTATACTTATTTTGTATATATCCCAAGGGGCAGTGTGGCATCATGGATAGAAAGCAGCCTTGGTAGGAAGGCATGGTTTCAAGTCCTGCCTCTTGCACGTGTTGGCTGTGTAAATCCTGGGCAAGATATTTGGCCTCTCAGTGCTCCAGACAGCTCTCTGAAATTGCAGAGAAGGTGGCTACCTGCCTTGGTAGATAAAGTTTCCTATCTCAGTGAAATCACAGGTCTGTTCCCTATCTCATACCTCCAAAGCTACATTTACTTATGCCTCGCACAGAGTAGGTACTTTAGTAAAATGCTTTTTTGAATTTTTAAAATATAATTAAATGAGTCATAGCTCATTTCTCCATGGAATTTTTATCCTAATGTGAATCATGCTATTGTCAATATACAGTAATACAGTTAACATCAAATTTTAGTGTAAATAAAAGTGTTTTATATGTTGTACTATTATTTGTGCTTTGTTTCATTCTCCACCCAAAGGATGGAGGGAATATTAAATGGGGGTGGAGAAGAGTTACAGTGGTCATAGAAAGGAACTCCAGAGATAGGGGAAGTGGAGGGCACACTAGACATATGCAGTAATGGTTTTGTCAACAACAAAGAAGTTCAACATTCAATAACTGCACTTACATTAAATTTTAGAACTTTTTAAAACTGCTGCTTTGTTTCATTTACTACTAAAAGAGGAACCTTTCTGCTTTCATTCCGTCTGGTTACTTTCAGAGATGGACATATTTTGGTTTCTCCAGTCAGTTGCATTTTTTTTGTTGCACATGACTCTTCTAGGTGGGAAATTTTTTTTCTAAAATTTATCAGAGTTGGCAAAAATAAGATGTCATTTTTAAATATGATATAATTCTTTCCATGGAGATAGTTCATGGACTCTGATTCTTTATCTGTTTCATGTGATTTATGATTCCCTTGTTAAGTAAACCTTTTGGTATTTGTAGTGCTCTGGACATTTTGAAATATGAAGAAGTTGACATGGCAGTGTTAGCAAAGGTGCTTCCAGAACCCTTGGCAAAGTTTGCTGAATGTCAAGAACTAATGAATAGACTGAAAATAGAAGGTAAAGTATGTATGTTGTTTTCCAAGCTCCTTGAAAGCAGAGACTGATTTCACTTTTCCTTTGTTTCCCCAGGCACCTAGCACAGTGCTTGGCAATAGGTGTTTAATAAACACTTATTGACTGAAGGCAGCTTCCAGCCATGGTGTTCTTCCCATAATCTTACAAAGTTTTGTGCTTCACTGGTATTTATTTAATATGGCCCAATGTAGTATGATAATATAACAAAGTTAAAACTCACTGAGCTGTGCCATTGACATTCCTCTAGATCTCAGCATACCCTCTTCATACAATATTCACTGCTCAAAATTTTGAGGACCTTAAAAAATGGTTGCTCCCCACAAAAAGGTTGGGGACCCTTGGTGCTATATAGTATGGATCTGTCATTTACCTGTCATTAGATTATGTTTAGATGTTATCTTCTCCAAATTCCCCTTTTTAGATTATTTCAATAGTCCAAAAGAGAAGTGATGGATACCACCTCCATGAAAATCCTGGAGCCTTATCCAGAGTTTTCACAGAATGAGTTAGCAGAGCCAAAACTAGAATTCAAGTCCAGTATTTCCCTATATGCTGCTTCTAGATACCAAGGGAAATCTTAGTATCTTTCCTTCAATCACTATATATTTGTTTTGAATGTACACACACACTCACTCACCCACCCCCTACCTCTTACCCAGTGAGTTCTAAACTTTTATCGTGATTATGATAGCAGAGCACTAGTTTTTTTGGAGATAATTTCTCTTCTTTGGATAATAGAGATCTACCAATAAATTGGACTTAATAGGTTTTCCAAATTTATACTTCCAGAAGGAAAAGAGAGTGCTTACTATGACAAACTGGTTTCAAAGCTTTTCATCAGTGTCATTTCTAAGCTTTCTCTTTCTAGACTGGTAATTGCACTTATTCCCAGACTTTAAGAGAAAATCAGTCTACTTACTGCTGCCACTAAATGTTTCCAGCTGAAAATTTGTCTTTTCCCATCCTAATATTGAATTTCAAAACTGGTCTAATTACCAGCCCCTTCCCCTATTATCTGTGGAACAAGCAAAAGGTCCTTTTATTTCACTTTGTTTATACTTCAGGATGTTTCAGGTATGTCCAGCAATTAGCACAGTGTCTGGTACATATTGATTGATTGATTGGTAGCTTAAAGAATATATGTATGTTAGGTGCTACTTTAGAGTATTAAAATAATTGGTGAATAGCACCTTTAAAACAACCTTTAGAAAAACTTTACTGGAGATGGGCAGGTCCTGCTCACCAAAATTTCATTTTTGGCTTCTTTTGTATGGATCATTATTGTAAAAACATTGATTCATAATGAAACTCAAGGCTCTGGAATATAAATCGAGGGACTGAGTACACTTTGCATTTAGAATAAAATCCATTTTTAGAAATCTTTTGTTTTAGTTTTGATTCTAGTTTTCTTTTTAAATGAGGATGATATGCAGAATATGTATAATATCTGTACATAGTATAACATAACTTTCCTACTTTTCTTCTTCACCAGCAACCTATGAATTAAGTCTGATTCTTCAACAACAGGAAATAGAGGAAGTTCAACGAGATGAAGCCCTTCAGCTCCCAAAAGATCTGGATTATTTGACCATCAGAGAGGTTTCCTTGTCCCAAGAAGTTCGAGAGAAGCTACATTCCAGTCGCCCACAGACAGTAAGTGACACATGAGAGAACTGTGACATGTAGAAGGAAACAGAGCTTTAATTTTGTCATGAGTATTGGGCTATCAGGTTTCTGTTGAGTTCCTTTATCTTTGTATGGCAGAGACTTGAACAAAGAACTTCTAATCAAAAATTATGGCTTAAGTATAATTTTAACAAGTACCAACAGTATTATCTGCCGTCTCTTCAAAATAATTTTTATTTAGGGCCTAAAAGGAATCTAATGAAAAGGAACCTGGAAAGAACATTGGCTTTTGGCTAAGAAGCATCAGGTCCTGACTCTTACCCTTTTGTATGACCTACAGCAAGTTACTTCAGTTCTCTAGGCTTCATGTTCCTCATTTATCAACATAAGAGGTTTGACCTTCACCTCTAAGGTCCCTTACAGTTTTAATTGCTATGATCTTATGTCTGTATGGAAATCTTGTTTGGGAGGAAGGACTATGAAAGGTGTGGAATTAGTCTTGTAATAATTACTGATGAGTAATTTCAGATGAAGGACTGTAGGGGAGTACTAGATAAGAGATAAGGTCTCGAGTCAAGAAGACCTGGATGGATTTAAATCCTGTTTCCCAAATACATGGGCTTTGTGACTCCAGGCCAGGCATCTCCAAGTGCCCCCAGGTAACTCCATAAAGTTTCAGAACAGATGCTGAACTGTTTTAGATGTAGGCCTTTTCTCCCCAGGAGCTCCCTATAACAATGAAATCACAGCTTTTGTCCTCTCCATCTTCTCCTTCCTCCCTCCTCCCCCCACAACTGCCAATCACTGAAATCAAACATTATGTAATAAACTCTGTCTAGCCTTTCTGTTAACTTTTGGTTAGATTTTTCATGGGAGGAAAACTCTAGAAGCAGTGGTGTCAAACTCAAAATAGAAACTGACTTAGAAAACCTAATATTATCTATGTTGTGTTGCATTTTTATTTATTTTGTCAGATATTTCCTAGTTACATTTTAATCTTATTGAGGAACACTCAGGAATATTGTGATGGTGTTGGGGGCCACATTCCAATCAGTTGCTCTAGAGAGTATTTACCAAGGGCAGCTAGGTGGCGCAATGGATAGAGCACCGGCCCTGGAGTCAGGAGAACCTCAGTTCAAATGCGGCCTCAGACACATAACACTCACTAGCTGTGTGACTCTGGGCAAGTCACTTAACCCCAATTGCCTCACTAAAAAAACAAACAAAAATACATGGGTTAGAGATTATCTACCACAGGCAAACTTTTTTCTTTAGCTTACTAAAAAAGGTAATATATTGGGTATATGAAGTATGCTAGAAAGAGGTAAACTTTAATAAATGTAAGCACTACCAATGCTCTGGATTTTATGAAGTGATGACATTTTCTGCAGACCTAATTTTTTTTAACCTATCTACTAAATTGGTAGACTTGTGAAGTACATAGCATCTTCCTTCATAGTTTAAAGTATATTAGATAAGGCTAAACAGAGCAAAATGGAGGACACTA